AAATTACACTGACATCTCATTTTAACAGATATACAGGGTGCGATGAATAAATTGACGCAAAAATGAAAATAACACTGACATCTCATTTTAACAGATATTATTCCAAAATCACGCAAAAATATCTTGAAATACTAAAGAGTAAATTTATTCAATAAAATTACCATTGGCTTCAACCCCGGCCTCCAGACGACTTCGGAATCTCCTGCAACTCTTCTGGACGGTCTTTTTTTTTAAGTTGGTGAATGCTTCCATAATCTTTGCCTTCTGTTCATCTTTGGTGTTACAAGGAGTTTTGTTGGTCACTCGTTTAACTGCTTAAACCTCTCATCTATGTACCCTCATCAACGGACTTCGGATGCAACGGACGAAATCTGCAGGTAAAATAATTAAAAAAAAAATCTGCATGAAGAAAAACTGCCAAATCGTCCGCGATGCATTTCAAAATTTGCGGGATTAGCTGAACGAGTCGTATTTGTTCTCAAAATGACTACTTGGTGGCCCTTTTGATTGTAAACAAAGACGAGTGTACAGTATATAAAGTACGATACATTTGCGTGTGTGTGAGAAAGTATCTGTGAGAAATCTATTAGTTTTGTTATTTTGATTAATATATCTATATTAAGTATATATTTATTTATTCCATATATACATGTTTATATTATTTCCATTATGATCATAACTGCTGGTAGTTACTATAGTGGTTTTATAACTCAAAAATAATCCCTTCTCATCTACGGACAATCGACTTTAACGAACCACCCTTTTAGTCCGTTGATGAGAGGTTTGTCTGTATATATATATATATATATATATATATATATACAGGTTTCATTGAAGATTACTGACACGTCACTGCCATTAAGGTTTTCATTAATATTTTCTTGTATTCGTACACTAGACTTTTTTTTGGGACACAGAGCGCGTGAAAACTGTCCCAATGTGAAACCGAACGATTAGATGTATTAGGGTTAATTACAGAGACAGACTTATTGGAAATGTGATCGTTATGATGGCGATTTAATTAAAAAAAAAAAAAAAAAGCAGGCGTGAACGCGCTTTAAAATTTTAAATTTATCCGTTGTAGCTATCATATCCCAAATCCCCTGTCTGTTTAACTAATTAACCTAAATCATCAACCAACTCAATATACCAAACATGCCTAGTAAATAGGTAACTACTCTTCACGTGTATTAATGAGGTTCCCTTCTATAATCATTAAAATAATGAGGTTCCCTTCTATGAGTATCAAAATAATGAGGTTTCCTTCTATAACCATCACAATAATGACGTTCCTGTCTATGGCCAACAAAATAATGAGGTTCCTTTCTATAACCTTCAAAATAATAAGGTTGCCTTCTATGACCATCAAAATAATGAGGTTTCCTTCTATAACCATCAAAATAATGAGGTTTCCTTCTATAACCATCACAATAATGACGTTCCTTTCTATGACCATCAAAATAATGAAATTCCCTCCTATAAACATCAAAATATTGAGGTTCCCTTCTATGAACATCAAAATAATGAGGTTATCTTCTTTGAACATCAAAATAATGAGGTTCTTATCTATGACCATTAAGGGAACCTTATTATTTTGATGTTCATACATCAAAATAATAAGGTTCCCTTCTATAACCATCAAAATAGTGAGGTTCCTTTCTTTGACCATCAAAATAATGAGGTCCCCTTGTATGAACATCAAAATGATTTCTACGTACAACGTGATGGCGTTTCCATTTGTTCAGTTCTAGGAACAACCTTTAGTGACTTCTACATGGCTAACCTTAAAAATAAGATATTTAGCACTACTACAAGACATTCCATTTACCTAAGATATGTTCATGATATTCTTATCTTAGCTAAAAAAAAAAAAAATAGGTGAAATATATGAACTGCAAGAAAACTTTCAAAAAACTCCATTCTTTACTTCACTATTTAACTTAAAGTCCCTTTTTCTTGTTGCATTGATAGACACTAATAATATATTTACTCCCTCGACATATAAAAATATAACTAGTAGATACTCGTGCACTCTAAACTATAAAAGTGAATGTCCTATTACAAAATAGCTATTATAGCAAATGTAATATACCAAGACAAATTAACTTTTCTACGAAAAAATCTTTCTACACTGAATTAAAAAACAAAAAAAACAAACTCTCATTAATAATGACTTTCCTAATTACATATTTGATGAATAAATTAGATGAGGCATTAGAAATATTAACATAAATCAAAAATAACATAATACTTCCTCAAATAATCCTAAACATATCAACCTATTACAAAATAGCTATTATAGCAAATTGTAATTAATTAATACTGTAATTAATTAATACTGTAATTAGTTAATGCTGTAATTAGTTAATACTGTAATTAAATGCATTCTAACTATAAACAAGATGAAAAAATCCTAAAAAATTTCATAAATCATATTCTCCACTGATCCCAGTAAAAAACATCATTATATATTTTACTAAATTTAACACAAGCAACTTAATTGTACTGCTCCGTTATTACTCATTGCGTTTCCACTGAGTCCACACTGCCTGGTCCAAGGATCGAACTCACAACTAATAAGTTATCAATTTCATGAACGCTTTAATTTAATTGACTATTGTCCTGTGGGTCACTAGCCCAGTCGGCTTGTAAATAATATAAGTAATGATAAAGCCTCATCCTAGAAACACACACGCGCGCACACACACACTCACTCACATACACACACACACACACATTTTTCTCTCTCTCTCTCTCTCGTCTAACCCCTTCTTCTTCTTCTTTTGATACCTCCTCCCTCCATTCCACTCTTCTTCACTTCTCTCTTTCAAATTTTTTCTCCCTCGTACTCTTCATACTCCAATCTCTCTCTCTCTCTCTCTCTCTCTCTCTTCCCACTCTTTCTCATTTCCACCCGCCTTCTCGCTTCCCTCCTCCTCATTACACTCTCTCTATCTGCCAACATCTCTTATTCTTTCCTTACTTCCTCCTCCCTTTTTCTCTCTTTCTCTTCCCCTTTCTCCCGTTCAACCTATTTTTCCCTTGTTCTCTTCATACCTCCTCTCTCTGTCTCCTTTCCAAACAATCTTTCTCTTCATATCTCCCTATCGCACGCACTCTGTCTCGCTTCCCCTCTCTCCCTCTCTCTCTCACGTATTCCCCCCTCTCTCTCTCTCTCTCTCTTCCTTCTCTCTTTCTCGCTTTCCCCTCTCCGTCTTCCCTCTCTCCCGCTTCTCCTCTCTCTCTTCCCCTCTCTCTTCCCGCTCTCTCTCTTCCCTCTCTCTCTCTCTCTCTGGCTTTCTCCTCTCTCTCTTCCTTCTCTCCTTTTCGCTTTCCCCTCTCCGTCTTCCCTCTCTCTCGCTTCCCCTTTCTCTCTCTCTTCTCTCTCTATCTGTCTCTCTCTGGATTTCTCCTCCCTCTCTCTCTCTCTCCCTCTTCCTTCTCTTTCTGGCTTTCCCCTCTCCGTCTTCCCTATTTCTCGCTTTCCCTTCTCTCTCTTCCCTCTCTAACTCTAGCTTTCCCCTCTCCCTCTCTTTCTTTCTCGCTTTCCCCTCTCCTTCTTCCCTCTTTCTCGCTTCCCCCCTCTCTCTTCCATCTATCTCTCTCTCGCTTCCCCTCACTCTTCCCTCTCTCTCGCTTTCCCTTCTCTCTATCGCTTCCCCCCTCTCTCTCTCTTTTCTACTTTCTCTTCACGCCTCTAAACCAAAAGCTACCGACGTATCCTTTTTAAATAAACAACAGTAAAAGTTTGATTTTCCAAGCCGTCTCAAGATCTGATCAATGGACATTAATATCGACCAGGGACACGCTACTCTTCTCCCCACTGAGGCGAGAGACAACGCAGCGGGTCTTGTCGGGTCGGGTTGGTTTGGGAGAGTTGGTTCGATGGCTGGGTAATTCTTTGTCAATACTTGATCAATAAAAACTGAATGAAAAAATTTCGTTCCTCGCTTGCCATTCCGCCATATCACATGACTTGAACAAGCAAACAAAACCGATCACTTTCCTGACTACTTCCGTTTCCGGTTAAGTCGCCATAACAACAACGGAAGAGAGAAAATATTTTCATTTTAACAGTGATGTCCTGGAATTGGATGACGTCTATGTTTTAAAAGTGTGTGATTCACGTTTTGAATTATCGGCGACAAACGAGATTTAGTAAACAGATTGCGTCATTCCCACCGTCAGTGAAGGTGGGGCAAAGCAAAAAGTCAATAATTAACCGAGGAAAAATAACATTCCCACTCAATAAGACACCCAACTGTCAGATTTCGAAAGGTTTAAATCCACGTGTCTGATTATTATTCTCTTTAAGCTTAGGGATTTTCAGTTAATTCTCTTTCGTCTATTCACTTTTCTGCTGCTTGTCCATTTCGTCCCCTGAACCTTGGCTTGAGTAAAGCGTTCAGTTCAAAATTCCGAACAGGTTACAAATACTGAAGAAGACTAGTGAATACAGCGGCTGAAACGTTGGGAAGATTAATGTGGAAAGTGTAGTGTACTAATATTAATAGAATGAAACGATTAACATGAGTGGTACAAAATAAAGAAGTTTTTATTTCCTTTTCTTTTACAACACAAGAACTTGGGAAAAATTCGAAAATAAAAATTGAATCGTTCGTGTATTGTTTTTCCCTTCTTTTTTTTTAAAGTCTCTGCGAGTTGTGGTGAAGTATCAACAGCCGGGTGGCGTTAAAAGCATTATCGCCAAGTTGAGAGTCGTAAGTTGATACTGTTCGTTCAGCAGTCAAAACAAGTGAACTGTTCTAAGATTTTTCTTGAACCTTCCTTGACGAGGAATTGCATCATTTCCTATAGAAAGACATATAACAATGATAATTCTTCATTTTTAGAATAACCAACTTTGGTTTAAGTGGATTGAATATAATGAGAAAAAAGGACGTTAGAAAAAATATGACTTCCTGAAAATGTAGAGAAATAAGAAAATTTCTATGACAACTGATTTTTCCCTGTTCGTGGAATTGGTATTTGGGAAGGGTTTAGAAATTTAGACAGCAAAAAGTATTATATCCAATACTAAAACGAAATAGTAAACAAATAGTATATAGATAGATAGATAGATAGATAGATAGATAGATAGATAGATAGATAGATATGAAAAGACTGAGATAGATAGATAGATAGATAGATATGAAAAGACTGAGATAGATAGATAGATAGATATATGAAAAAGATAGATAGATAGATATGAAAAAAGACTGAGATAGATAGATAGATAGATAGATATGAAAAGACTGATAGATAGATAGATAGATAATATGAAAGGACTGAGATAGATAGATAGATAGATAGATAGATAGATAGATAGATGAAAGGACTGAGATAGATAGATAGATAGATAGATAGATAGATATGAAAGAAAGAATAGATAGATAGATAGATAGATAGATAGATAGATAGATAGATAAGGAAGTTACCTCTTCAACGGCACTATTTATCATATTTTTAAATTTTCCATTTATTTATCAGTCTTTTCCACTCTTTCTCATTACTTATCTGTTGCTTAGTTTTAGACATAAACAGTTTCTGTTTTTGTCCATCAACTTTTTTCTTCAAAAAATAAAGTGCAATTATATTTGATTCAATTATATCTTCGCCATTATTTGCAAAGACTCCTTGTCACTTATCAGACAGCACTTCCTTCCGTTTTCATTAGAATCCACAGATTTTGATGTAAAAATCTTTACAACGAAATCTTGAATCTGTTTTTCATTAGAGAAAGTTGCCCCCCCCCCCATTAAAGCGTTAAAAAGAGTTTAAGATCAAAGGTGAATATGGCCGGTGAGTGTTAGAACAGACCAACCGAATTTTCCTGTGATTTCTGCTGTATTTGGACCTGCATTATTGTGGACCAGAACAACAATTTCTTACTGACGAGCACGGATCGCTTTTTGACTAAACCTGTATGGACATGTTGCAGCTGCTGGACATTTAAATGGCCATATATTCTTTCATTTTAAGAATTCTAACTTAATCTTCTTATGGCACATTACTGACAGAAATTCACTTACACATAAGTGAATTTCTGTCAGTTAGGTGCCATGCGTGATACACGCGTAGACGATCATATATATTTCGATACATGACTGACGAGGCAGATATTTTTCTCGCCGTTGCTTACCATTTCGTTCAGCGGCAGGCCAGTTGCCATCCAAGGCTATAGAACCTGGTTTGTCCTGCTATTTACCCATAGCTGGGGGGGAGAAGAAGAGGATTCATACCTTTCCCAAGAGTATTAGTATGTAATTGAATGTAATGGATTCGGGTGGAATTCGAACTCGGTTCTCCGATTCCTTAATCCGAGCCGCTATCCATTACTCCACTTCACTGAATCTAAATAGCCGAATATCTGAATATCTTGGTTTGATCAGCTGATAGGCAAAACAATGCTTATCCACAAAACCAACGCGGTAGTTGGCACAAAAAATGACTCCTCCGTCACTCTCACCAAGAAGAGTACGTGAGCATTTTGTCCACTTCGTAACAGTCACCAATCGGCCATAATAATTAGCTCTTGGATTGAACATAACAACTTCACTATAACGCCATGTGCAATAGTGGCTAGTACCGGAAGTATCCTTTCCTATTTCCGGTTTTACGCTAATTTTTCCTTTCCGGTTTGGCCATTGCCATCCAACGAGAAAATGTGTCACCACCAGCGTCCCTTTCAATGTATAATGATTTTCTAAGCGTCGGGATGCTTAAATGTGTTTCTAAGCGTAGCTTAAAAGTGGCACAAGGCTTAAAATAGGGGGCACCCAGTGAATATCGAACTCACTACTCAGTTGTTATTGTTCTAGCGAGACAAGCTTGTTAACCATTACACCACGTCGAGGTGTCCCCATCCTTTTCAATGTACATGTTCCATTTTGTGGTCAACTTTGACTTCTTTAGTTATCAAGATTTAGATATAGTTTATGGATCCAAATTTCACAGTTTCACCCTCCCTCCCTTAACTCCTATATCCCCTTTTATTCCCCTCTCTCTCCCTCTCTCTCTCTCTCTCCTTCTTCTTTCACTCCTAACTCTATTTCTCCCTTTATTTCTTTCTCTCCTCCTCCTTTCACTTCTCTCTTCACTTCTCCCTTCACTTCCCTCGCCTTCTCTCTTCTCCCTTCACTTCTCCCCCTTTCTCTCTCCTTCTCCCTTCACTTCTCTCGCCTTCTCTCTTCTCCCTTCACTTCTCCCCTTTCTCTCTCCTTCTCCCTTCACTTCTCTCCTTCTCTCTTCTCCCTTCACTTCTCCCCCTTTCTCTCTCCTTCTCCCTTCACTTCTCTCGCCTTCTCTCTTCTCCCTTCACTTCTCCCCCTTTCTCCTTCTCCCTTCACTTCTCTCGCCTTCTCTCTTCTCCCTTCACTTCTCTCTCCTCTTCCTACTCTCTCCCTCTCCCTTCTCTCACACACATTCTCGTCGCACATTTCAGAGTCTTCTGTTGATAATAGTTTTGTGAAAGAAGGAATAGATACTTAGGGGTTCATGCCTTATCAAGTTTATTGCTCAAAATGTATCCATTCTTTTTTTTTTCCTTCTTTCGCCACCCCCATCTCTCTCTCTCTCTCTCTTTCTGTGTGTGTGTGTGTGTGTCTCTCTCTCTCTCTCTCACTGTATCTCTCCTTACAAGGTGATCTGCTGATAGCAAAGCTATTTAGAGTGGAGAAAGTTGGACCGTTTGAGTTCATGCCTTTTTCATGCCGTTTTGAACGTAATGAATCCGTTCTTTTTTACATTTTTTCTCCCTCTCTCCATTTATGTTCCACCATCTATCTATCTATCTATCTATCTATCTATCTATCTATCTATCTATCTATCTATCTTCTCTCTTCTCTCTCTCTCTCTCTCTCTCTCTCTCTCTTACACCCACACACACACTCATTCGTTGCAGAGCAGTCTGTTGATGACAAAGCTATTTATGGAGAAAGAAGCTGGGGCTTTTGGGTTCATCCCTCTTTAAACATTTAATTTGAAACGAAATCATCCTGTCTCTCTCTCTCTCTCTCTCTCTCTTATATATATATATATATATATATATATATATATATACTCATTTTTCACACTCTCTTTTTTTCTCCCCATCTCTCTCTCTCTCTCTCACACTGTCTCTCTCACAAGTTTAAAAGTAGTTTGCTGATGTCAAAGTTATTTGTGGTGGAAGACATTTGAGTTCATGCCTTTTCAAGCATCTTGCCGAAATATAATTTGTTCTCTCTCTCTCTCTCTTCCACGAAATGAGACCGAAATCGGCAAGTCCGAAGTCCGTGGATTTTACACTCGTGTGTATCTGTATGCGTGTGCGTAAACGTGTGTACGTGTATGTGTTCGCGTGTGTGGGTGCGTGTTTATGTGTGTGTGCGTGTGTACGTGTATGTGTGCGCCTGTATGTTATGCGCATGTGTGTGCGTGTATGTGTGTTTATATTCGAGTATAATTCTCAGTTTCAAACCAATCCCCCCCCACTAAAAAAAAATAAATTAAGAGCCTACCTAAATACAGCGGATAGTCTTGTTCGCTTCAAATCAGTGTATATTGCTTCAGAAGTAAAAAAAATAAATTATTCACTTGTCACTAAAATACTGTTGTATAATATTATTCTAGCCTGGTTTAATAACGGTTTGAATGTTTTGTTAAAAGTTGCCATGTTTCGATATAAAATGGCATCAGAACAAATAATTGTCGATGTATCAGGTTCACTGATCCTCAATTTGTATTGACTGTCTAACTATAAACGGATTGCTACATGAGATCTGGTTTATATGACGTGAATTCTGGTGCATTGTTTGTTGTTGCATTCTTGTAGAATCTCTGGTCAACCATTGTAAATATACACCAGCGACCATTATCGGCTTTTTACCGACCGGAAAAAATCACCCGACTTTGCGTTTTGATTCCCGTCTGCGTCGGTGTGATCAAAAACTGGGAAAGGTCCGGTGCACGTTCGCAAGATTGAAACAGCGCTACAGTGAGAAGCGAAAACACTAATCCTGTTTCAAATATATTGGCTCATTTATACACGGGCTCGTAGCTGACACTGGAAACATTTTCACCGTTTCTACTGGTCTTCACTTCAACCAGCGAAAATTCTGATTGACTCTCTGTGCAACTCGGACTGTCTCTTTTTCTACATCGCTAGTGCCACTCACTCGTCACCTGCTAACGACCGGCTTCCTCCTCCTCTAATCATCACTTTGTCTCTCTGTATCTCGACGGACAGCTCGACCGCCTAACAAAACACGTTGGCCAGTAAATTACTGGAATTTAACGCGATTAAAGTTGGGGGGGGGCATATTTTTGTAAACAATACGCCCAGTATTAAAATAAATAAAACAAAAATAGTTAATATATGGGTAAAAGTTCAAATAACTTATCTCCAACTTCAAGTTTTGCAGATACAAGATAAATCTGCCGCTTTCAAAGATTAATGGTTGAAAAAGGTTTTGAGCAAGTGAAACCTGGGCGTCTTGGCAAAGATCATTCTTTCTTGAACCTTGTGTGCTACAGAATCACAAAGATGTGTACCAAATAACAGAAACCACATCACTTGAAGACTAGCAACAACGGCAGCAACTAAAATGGATAGTACAGTGTAACCCGGATATAAGAGACCCGGATATAAGAGAAACCCTGATATAAGAGAGATTTTCTCTGGTCCCAAATTAGAGCCTTACTTACCTAAACAAAATAGACCCAATCCGGATATAAGAGAAACCCGGATATAAGAGACTTCTTCTCCGGCCCCGACAACTCTCTTATATCCGGGTTACACTGTACATGTAACTCGATGAGAAAATAATAATGTCGACATTCCACACTACTCCAAACAAAAGGTTAGCAAAGAAACTCCCCATCTATACTGGAAAGAGCGATAACAGTTAATGGACTTGGAAAACATATTTTCCTTAAAAAAGGTTTGAAGAGAAAGATTTTGCAAATTTCAGCCGAAAGCAGTATTAATTGCTCGGTCAATAAATGCTAAATGTTTCCTTATAAAGAAACGTCTAATATTACCATTATCATTGAATTCATTAAAGCATATATTTTTTAACTGCTTTTAATGCCATACATAAAAAACGCTAATCCTTGATTCTAAACAATTTTTTGACACGGCTGCACAATAGCCCCCTTCGTGATTCGGGCAGTCTTGGTAACGACAATCTTGATTCACTTTTCTTCTTTCTGTCATCTTCCGACCAGGAAACGAAATGTCTTCCGGCCAGGTAACGAAATGTCTTCCGGCCAGGTAACGAAATGTTTTTGGTTTGTAATTAAAAGAGAAACATCAATAAAAGGAATTTTAACTTTTTACTTTATTAAACACATCGACGTGTACAACTTTTAACTTGTCAGTGGGTTGCTATCTCACCCCACTGGGGAACAAAATCCGAGACACAAAAAAATACATGTCTATATTGCATGGCCTGTAATACTTAATTCCCTGAAATCCCTT